TCTAAACTCTGGATCCTCCTGGAGTAACACAGGTAATCAAGAAGTACTGAGAAATGGAAGTAAACACTGAAAGCAATGTTAAATCAGGACATTAATTTGAATGTGTATTTAACTTTGTAATGTATTTTTTAAATCAGTGCAATTTTGCTTTTCATTGAAAGACAATTCTGCCGCTGTTTTCAAGTACTTGAAGTATTTTTCAGATAACTTAAACAAGTAAAGCAATTACACTACAATCTGGTTTATGTATGAGATTGTATAATATTCTTTTTATATTTTTCCATGTAGTTCATTATCTATTTGAACATACACCTGTTGTAGAATTGTGTATACCTGTCCTGTGCAACAGGTGGCTGTGTTGATGGAACTGTTTGAATGATAGTTGATCAGTAGTGAGCCATATTTATTCAAAAAGATATCACTACATATTACTTTGCTTATTACAATTGCACTATGGATTATTTGTCCTTTATTTCCTGATGATGTACAGAATCAAAATCTTAAATCTTTCAAGGAAAATAAGACAAGTTGAATTGGCCCAGTTATCCAGTTTAATTTGTCCTTTTTGTAGCCTTTTGCTATGCACGGTACTCGTAAAACGTACATAACTTCTGAGTATTATGTTAGACTCGCTGAAATCTTATATTCAGTACCATTTCTAAATTGATAATGGTTATAGAATGGTTGTTAGTGTTCATGTTTTATAGAAAACTGGAAAAGAATATATGATATACTCTGGAATTTTTAGATTAAAGAGATAATGTCTCTTAATTCCTACATATGATCCTACTGACTGCTTAAACTGTAATAGCATCTGACTATATCAAAGTTAAGGGCCTTCCAGTTTTTACTACAATTTCTGCCTTGGAGAAAGAGGAGGAAAAATTGGTTGTACAAAACTCTGGAATTTATGAATCTTATAAACAGACTAATTTCAATAGACTGGATTTGGGTACACTTGGCCCTTCAGTTGTACATTCTGTGAATTTTGAAGCTCACTCTTCTTCTGACTGCAGATCTGGGCTCCATTCAGAGGCCTGTGGTAAATCTACCTCTCAGTGATGTTATGGCAATTAAGATTTTGATGAATGGTTAATGCCCAGTTTTGCACCCGTTATAGGGCCAGATCCATTTTAAGATGTCTGCAGAGCTCCATGGTGCATCTTGAAATGCATTCTGAACAAAGGCTGCAGTACAATAGGTTTGCTCTGAAGCCTGTAGGGAAGGGAAGACAGTGGGAGGCTTAACTAACCTTCTTGCTCTACCATGCATTTAGCTGATTTAATCCTCTAAACTGCTTGGAAAAAGATATTCTTAATTATTACTCCAAAGTGAGTTCAGTTGAGAAACAAATCCCTGACTTCTTGGAATGCCTTATGCAGTTCAGATCTGTAGGAAATGCTGATAGGAACAGTTTACCTGGCTTTGTATTTGTTTACCTGTACTAAAATACAAATGCACTGAAATGTGAAGTACTTTGTATTTTAGCGGTTGTTTTGGCAGGGCTTGAGATAATGGTGGTCCAAGTGCTCTGTGTCCAGATCCAGTCACCAGAGAATTTTCATCGTATGGAGATGGGAGGACTAGATATTTTCAGATGTGGTTTCTTTTTTTTGTATACCTCTGTGTTAATTTTGATTTTTAAGTATGTTTTAAAAATGACAGGAATGTGTTAACTGGTTTTTTTCCTACATTGTTTAGCCCTTAAACCAGAACGGCTTCCATACTGATTAAAAGGGAATAATTTCGTTATCATGTTGTTTGAAGTTGCCAATGAATTGAGATACTTTTTTCTGATGAGGCACTCCGGTTCAGAGTTAGTCAGAACTGTTCTTCAGTATGAAGTGAGGAACTGAATTTTCCTACAGACCTTTCCCAAAACATTATTTAGAAGGCTAAGTCAAGTAGTTCTTAATACAGGCTTACAGTATATACTGTAGAGGGCTTAAGGAAGCTGTGCACTACTGAAAATATTTTTAAATGTTGGTGATAGACCTTGTGCACAAACTATTGCTTAGAAACTTCATAATTCCAACATTAAACTCCTTGATACAGCTAGATTTAGGGTACCTCATCTGTCTTTAAATTTTCACCATTGTAAGAATGAAACTCCATAATGGTCTGCAGGGAACATGTGGGCTTGTCTGCCTTATGTGGGGAAAAACTTGTCAGACCTGGAGTTCAGCCTTAATTTTGAACAATTTTATTTAAAAAAATAGTTCTGGGTTAAATAAAAGCTTATGCTCTGGAATGTTGTAATTTGGTTGTGCATTTTGTTCCTTGTAATTCTGGAAAATTAGATGTTTATCTTGCACATCAGGAATTTCCTTTGCTTGATGGAAATCTAAGATTTTTATTCTTTACCGGGGTTTAAAGAAAAGCTTACACAGGAAGTGAAAGTTTACTCCTTTGTCCAAATGGACTCATTGCTAATGAATTGCCAAAGGAGCATTTTTTCCAAAATGAGATGTGTATGATATTAAGCAAGGTAATGTCCTTTTTAGCTGTACAATGAAGAGAAATAAATAAAGTTAACTCAGATCACTTAAACATATATGTTAATTTCAGTAATCCAGTAGGCTGGATTGCAATAATATAAACCATCTTTTGGGGTAAAAAAATGATACTTAAAGATCTGATCAACTACTAGCAATACTAAAATATCTGCCTGGCAGTTAAGTGGCACAATGAAGATGAATCAGTAATTCCAACATGTTACATTCTAATGAGGGGATTTGTTCCAAATCATTCATTACACTCTATGTAATTTCTTGCACTAGCTACTTAAGCCTGATCTCCATTTTAGAAGTACATGTATCTATTTTCAATGGTTTATTATGAGGACTGGTTACAGCTTAATTCCTTCTCTAGTAGAGTACCTGGATTGTTTGAATAATGAAGGCATTGTCTCAATTTGGCTACTAAAGGTATTTAAAAGATATTATTTTTCCCACCTGAAGAAGTTTGTTTGAACATTAGGATCTGTAGTGAGAAGCCAAGAGAGCAACAAGTGTGTCCAGTTTCAGTGGGAACACCTGTACTCTCCCAAATGCCCCAGCTGCAGATACACTGTGTATAACTGCATTTATGGAAATTGCCATTTTCATGAAAATGAGCAGATTTAACTGTTTTTTCATATCCTTGTTGATGCACTAATTAAAGCCATTTAAGCCTCATTCTTTTTATCAGTATTTTTAGCAGATTTTTATGTAATACTCAATCTTTCATGAGGAGGCTGGTTGGTAGAAAGATTATTTTTTTTTTTATGATTAAGCACTATCCTAAAATGTCAGCATTGTGAGGTGTCAGTGACTTGGCTATTTGTGTGGGAGTTGGTGAAAGGTGGAATTCTAGTACATTAGCCTTATAAGAAATAGCCTTAAATAAGAATGGTGTTACTTCAAAAAATTACTTCAGCTTTAAGTCTTACATGTTAATGGTTTTGGTACAAAATGGGAAGAAATCTAGAGGAGAGTCAAACATCATATAAACTTATTGAAAATAAGTATTTGGAATACCAGCAGCCTGTTTTTCAGAAACTTGAATATGACTTACAGTTAGTTTTGTTTATGAAATTGTTTGAACTTGCACAGATGTAGGTGTAACTTAAATGATAAATGGTACTGATGTGTGTGTATATATTATGTTCAATTCTATTTGTAAATGAGAAACTATGTAACAAAATCATAGGTATGAGGTTTTCCTATTGTAATTTAATACAGGTATGAGGTTTATGGCAATATATCATAGTTAATGAAATTTCAGGTCAAAATGTCTTTAAATTGTGTACATTTTTAAATTGTAATTTCTACTGTATATTGATTATCATGCATAGTGTGATTCAAGAAACTGCTTGTAATTTAAAAATATTTAATATTAAAAATAAAATACAGTTATATATTTATAATCTCTTTGTCTGTTTGTTCATTTTTAAACAGATGCCAGCAGTGTAGTTCTACTGTAAGATATATTTATTAGTCTCCTGAGGTTGAGAAAGTTCCAAAAGTTCAAAGCCACAGTCCCAGCAGATGAGTCCACGCTAAATAGTGTACTCACCTTTAAATTCTTCCAGTATCATCATCCCTGTGAAAATTTCAGGTAAAGTGTGTACACAGTCAGTGGAGAAGCAATAATTAAAACAGAAACAGTGTAATTCTGAATACTGACTTTTGTTTTCAATCACAGAATTAGAGATCTGTTGGAATAATGGGGATTTTGAAATTTATAGATTCAGAAAACAGATTAATGATGCTTTCTCAGTGTTCACTGAATTTCTTCCTAGGAGAGTTGCTTGGTTTTTCTATCTTAAATGCATGTGCTGAACGGACCAAAAATCAGCAGGGAAATGAATGCAGCACTGGTGTGTAGTGGGAGCTGCCGTGGTGAGATCTGCGGCTGCTGCAGGCCGGCACTCGGTGAGGCAGGAGGAGCGTGCGGTGAGGTGGGGTGGCCCAGGGCAGCCCTGCGGTGCTGGTGGAGGCTCCTGTGGAACCCCCACCTCGCAGGGCACCTGTTGTGACCTGGGAATGAGAAACTGATAGCAAGATGACTTAACTTCATTAGGTAAAATATAACTACTGGGCTGAAATTTGACCAAGGCAGTGGTCATTAATGAGAACAGATGCAGAAGATCCCATGGCACTAAATTGGTCACCTTATATAGAACTTATTATCAAAGAATATGAGAGCTTGCAACCGGGGTGCCTGTCCTGCCCGGGGGTGCCTGTCCTGCCCGGGGTGCCTGTCCCCAGTGCCTGCCCTGCCCGGGGGTGTCTGTCCTGCCCGGGGGTGTCTGTCCTGCCCGGGGTGCCTGTCCCCAGTGCCTGTCCTGCCCGGGGGTGCCTGTCCTGCCCGGGGGTGCCTGTCCTGCCCCCGGGGGTGCCTGTCCTGCCCCCGGGGGTGCCTGTCCTGCCCGGGGGTGCCTGTCCTGCCCGGGGGTGCCTGTCCTGCCGGGGGTGCCTGTCCTGCCCGGGGTGCCTGTCCCCGGAGCCTGCCCGCGGAGGGACCGGAGCTCCCGCCCGCCGGGCCCGCCCCCGCCGCTAAAGCGACGTGTCCGGGGCAGCGCCGGCCCTGCCCGCGGCTGCCTCCGCCTGCGGGGCTCGGGCAGTGCCTGCCCGCGGCTCCTCGGGCCAGGGCAGGGCCTGGGCCCCTCGCACGCTCCTGCTGACAGACCCTGCCTCGCTCAGAGGACACGCAGCGCTCCCTCCCTGTTGCCCCCACAGCCCTTGCTGCTGTTCCTGGCTTCCCTTGGGTCCCTGCCGCGTTGCCCAGTGGGCCCCAGGCACCTTCTCAGCAGCGGGTGGAGTGGGTAAGTCACAGAAGAGGGATGCCGGGCTGCACAAGGTGTTAAATGTGCTGGTATTTGGCTGCTCTCGTTGGTTTCTCTTGACCGCTCCAGTCTGTTGCTCCTGATCCCTCCACAATCTGTTTGCTCCTTGCACACTCTGGTAACACCTTCCTGGGACTCCCAGCAGCTGAGCTGGGGCTCTCTAAGGTTACTTCTCTAGGTTACAGCAGTGGCAGTCTAAGAACAAACCTGCCAGCGAGGCACCTTGTTATCCCATTATACCCCACTTGCTTTTGCCCAGCCTGCAGTTTTAAAGACCACTTTGCTCTCACAGTTTGCTGAAGCTTCCTTTCTCTTGGATCTTCTTCCAGCTTTCTCTCCTGGCTGTGTCTATGAGGTCCCTCTTCACCAAATCCTGTGGGCTGTTTTCTTCCAAACAGCAGTGCTTCCCAGGAGTGCTGCTTGGGCAGAGAAGCTCCTACTCCTCTTGTGCTCTACTGTAACTGTGTCTTTTCTGCCAAGTGAGTTACGCAAAGGGTCCAGAAGAAACGTGGTTCTTGCCTTTGGACCTGTTTTCTCTCTGAAGATACCTGTGTGTCTCCAGCATTTTTTAGGCTCCCACAACACAAGCTACTTGGTGCTTTCAGCTGTCATCACCTGGGTGCTACTTTAACCCAGCTGCTTTGTGAATTCCTGTCCTTTTTGGTAAAGTTGCCTCTTTGGTAATAAGGAACCTGGGGATGGCTAGGATGTCCTCACAGGCAGAGAACTGAGTCACTGTGCAAGCCCAGCAGCTGAAGATGGCTTTAATGAAATGAGAAACGAGACAGGAGGGGGTGTTTACCACAGCACAGCTGGGACCTGCCAGACACAGCCACCACCTGCTCCAGCTAAGGTTGAGGTTGTACTGGGACAGTCTCACATCTGGGGCTACGTTTTTTGTTCTTATTTTTCCTTCATTTTTTATTGGCTCACCAACTCTCAAACTGCTCCTACACAATAAATATTGGCATAAAAATGTATTTTCTTCACACCAGACCTTTTTCTGACTACATGAACTGGAAGACTTTGGAAAGAACGTATTTTGAGAATGTTTCTTAGTAACACTGATTGTTGGCGTTAGAGGCAGGGTTGCTGTGGTGCTGTTGTCTTCAGATGTAGTGTGGGCACAGAATATGGGCTGAGTGGGTTAGAATATCAATGATGTCACCTAATGCAGAGGAAGGAACATTGCTGTGTCTTTTTGGGTAACTTGGAATATAGCCTGCTCTGCTGCTGTTGATCTGGGGCAGTAACTGCAGTTCAGCCCTGCCATTATTAGATTGTTGTTGGAAGAGGGAAGGGCTTTTTTTGTGTGTGTGTATGGTAGGGACTAGCCCAGAACACAGAAATGCTGCAGCTGAAAACACGTGGCTGGGTCGGAGCTTCTCCCTGAGAATGTGCCATGTTTCCCTCTAGTGGACTCCTCTCACACAGTGGAAACCTGTGCCTACAAAAACCAGTTATCAGGAGTTCAAGGAGAAATGACTTTAAGAGCCTGAGGGTCCGTCTAATACCCCCCTAAGCCAGCACATGTACATGGAAGTGGTGCATGGCTTTATTATAATGTGGGGGAGTGAGGAGTTGGGAGACAACAGCAGCATGAGAGATGAAACAGAGGCAATGTATTACCAAACCTCACTGACTGTTGTATTCTGCATATTTTTGAGTTGTGGTTCACTTTTCTGCAGAAAGACTGAATAGAACTTGGAGACCAATTTCTTTTATGTACAATGATAAAGGAAAAACCTCTCTGCTTTGACGCCTGTTTCTACGAAAGTAGAGGCGTCTGTTTTTCACAGCAGGTGATTCACTACATCTTTGTTTCACTGGTTCCATTCACTTGTGCTCTATTCCCTCTGCAAGCTCTCCTCCCAGCTCAATATTGGTGTTATGTTTTTACAGCACATTGATAATTAATACCAGTCCATCCAACAAAACATGAAGACTAAAACCAAAGGAAAGAAACAAAGGCAAACTGTTGACAAAGAAGCATTTTCTGAGGAGCCAGCAATGAGAAAAAAGGAACTGGTGAAATGTTTGCGACGCAAAGAAAGGAGGAGTGGGGGGAACAAGGAGAGCAGCAGGATCCCCACAGGCAGAGCCAAGCGTGCTTGGAGCAGTAAGGACAGGCTGCTGAGGAGGCTGGAGAGCAACGAGCGCGAGAGGCAGAGGATGCACAAGCTCAACAACGCCTTCCAGGCCTTGCGCGAGGTGATCCCGCACGTGAGAGCCGAGAACAAGCTGTCCAAAATAGAGACTCTCACACTGGCCAAAAACTACATTAAATCCTTGACCTCCATTATACTCAACATGTCCAATGGACACTTTCCAGCAGTAGAAGGGATGGGGGGAGCCTGGGGATCCAAACTGTACCAGCATTATCAACAGCAGCATGGGGAGGATGAGCATGAGGAAAATCTACAGAAATATTCCACATAGATTTATAACTTTAGCCAAAACACCAACTGCCAGCTACTACCGTCATTGTTTTTCCTTCTTACATCATAATTCATGCCATTACCTAAAGGTTTAAAGAGGTTATTTTTACCTCCAGTCTCTCAATTTTTTTTTTTCTTAAAAAGACAAACAGGTAACACTCCTGACTATAGTTACATGGCACATTAAATAATTACCTTAAACCTTCAGAATTTTTCAGAGCATAGTGAATGTGTTTATGCAGTGTGCTAGGGTCTGGATACCTATCCTGTAACACTGGAGTTGACTTGAAAATAGTGATTTAGTAACTTCAGAAAATTATCCTACCTGGAGTAGAGTGACTCGAGCCTTTAAGGTCTGTGTCACCTGAGTTCCTTGGAGTTTGTTGAGAATCTTGGCTGTAGCTCTGTTTACCACCCTTTCAATGACTCATCTGCTGTGCTAAAGAGAAGATTAAAATTGATTACAGCATTTGACTGACTTGGTGACTGAAGTGGCATATATGGGAAACTGGTCACCAAATCTTATTATTTATCTTGATATTTAACTTCTGTGGATCTGCCCTTGTAATCTTGAACATTGCAAGGCATAAAAGCATCTGTTGATGCAAACATCTGCAAAGCTTTCTTAGATTGTAAGCTCTCTAGAGTAAGGACAGTTCTGATCTGTGTTTCCAGAGCATCTTGCCTCACGGAGATTTTCTTTAGTGGATGTCTGGGTGCCATTGTAATACAAATAATAAATAAGGAACAAATTACTTACTTTTGCCAAGACAATGATAAAAATGCTTTAGTATAGTCTTAAGTTAGACTATGCTCTGGCCAGTTTAAATTACTTGTTAATGAAGCCTGTGATGTGATCAGGTTCTTTCTGGGTTAGTGTTAGATTCTGATACTGTAAACAATAAATGAAGCAGAAACTCTTGATAAAGGAAAATAGGCTCTTTTATTCCTCTCCTCCTATCCCCTTCTGTGGTTAGAAGTTTTATGTCACTGAGGAACTCTAATTTCCTCTTGTATTCTCATACCTGGGGGACCTGAAGCTGGAGTGGCCTCAGTTGGAAGTGCCCCTGGAGCCCGCATGTCACAGCTCCCCTCCCCACATGCCCCATGGAACAGGAGGCTGCTGCTCGGTGCTCTGATGGCACAGCAAACATCTGGCACCTCATCCATCACTAGCATTGATACTGGTTTGTGGCCTGGTCCTTTTCCTGCAGAGGAGGGCTGTCCAAGGAGGAATGGGGGCTGAGGAAGGATTTATCAGGTCCATCACAAAAGGTTTGTGCAGTTTGGAATGTGTTTGCAGTTTGCTGTAGACAGCTGAGGGGATGACAGTGTAATTCAGAGTGAAAGGCGAGGTTTCCCACACAGGCTGGTAAGGAATGTAAATTATCTTTCTCCAGCACAGCAGTCCATAGCTATGATATAGAACAAAACAGTTTATACATGTGGTTACCTTACTGGAGAAAGCATTTGGATCCTGCCTCAACCAGTTGTTGAACTGTTTTCACATTAAAATAAATGTGATTAAGTCCTCATACTCAAGGGCTAATGAAAGGATTGCAGAGTTAGAGATTTAACTTGTCATTACAGTGCTGGATCTTGCTCCATTCACCAGCAGCTCTGTGTGGGTAAATTAGTCCTCACTGTGTTTATGCACTGATCACAGTGGGTCAGTTAGTAACACCAAGGCCTTTTCTTCCAGTTATTCCACTCAGCACCTTCTCAGGTAAGAGATGTTATGTTTTTTGGTTATTTCTCACCCTTTAGGTCAGTGCAAACTGTGGCTCTGTGTCACACAGTAAGTGATGACCAAGCACGTGTAGATTATGGTAGTTTTTTTGTAGGATTCTTTATAGGTCATTATCTGAGTGTTTCCAGCTAGTAAACATCCCTGGAATGCTTCTGTGGGATAGTTATATTTGAACTGCTGTTTGGCTGCATTGGTGGAAAGTGGGAACCAGCAAGTTTAAAATCCAGTATTTTAACAGTGCTATTGAAGAATTGCACTTTAAGAATCAATTATGCTGGTATTGCTCCTAAACATACAGAGTTTAATGCTTGGGCAGTGTATTTTTGACTTTCTGCAACCAGAGGCATTTCAAATATTAAGCCCAAGATGGCACATCATATCTAGCTATAAATACAGCAGCCAAGGAGGCAGGTGAACACTGCCATCCTTGAGGGACAGTCAGACTCTGGACAGAGGCATTTTTATGGACTTACACCTGCTAGTTCCACAGTGTAGCAAAGTACAAAGTGCTATGTTCTTGGTCATGTAAAAAGGGATTTTTTAAGAAGCATGTTTTTCTGATAAATTACTTTTATTTTTCAAAATTGGTTCAGTTTAAAGTCACTTTTCCATGTTTTAACCAGCCACAACAATGACATTATATTTTTAAATTAAATAATTTTCTAAATAATATTTTAGAAGGCAAATACTTAGTACTCAAACATAAACAATTTATAAATTATATTTTTTTCACTCTTTTTTTCACTTAAACCCAGCTCTTTACAGTAAAGTAAGTGAAACTTGGCAATGTAGGGAAAAATGCAAAGGTACATTATAAAGCTTATTGTATGCAATCAGGTTGATTGTTGGAGATGTAAACACTGACTATTAAAAGGAAAAATCTTGATACAATGCAGAGAAAAATACAATCCTAATAATTATCTAAAAATACATGTAATAAAGTTATTTATTTGGACAAGATACTGTGCAAGTTATGCAAAACCTATTATGGTAATTAATGCAACACATTATTTATGGTTCTCCCACAATGTATGTATAAACCAGAAATCTCTAATCACATACTGGAAAGATCAATAGTTTCTTTTTTTTAACAGTAAAGTATCTTCAATCTTCATTCACATTTGGACTTGGAAACGGTGCTTTCCTTGGCATTAAATACCAAATATATTCCTTATAAACGTGCAAACATAAGTTTTACTTCTACAAATACAGTACTGAGACCACATCAAACTCATCATATAAAAATAGCTTCATGTACAGTCACACACAGAGAGAAGAAATGTATGTAAACTGTCCAATTATGATAAATAAGTCAGGGAAAAAAGCTTTTTTTTTTTCAAGAAGAGAAAGTGGTTTCATGTTGGAAAAAGGGATGAATAAATCACTTACTCAAAATGAAGAGCAGAGCTTCATTCTGAATTGCCATCAGTGTACACAAGCAAACTCCACTACTGTCAGTAATGCTGTTTTGCATTCCTACCACTCTTAAATTTAAAGACCTTCCCTTAACTTCTACAGTAGGAAAGCATAATTTGCAATGATCTGGAACACAGCCTCCAGAGTCTGGTGCCTTCCAGCCTCCTTAGGCAGGATCTGTGTACCTCAGTTGTCCCAGTTTCAGTTCAGCTGCAGACAGAACACGATTTCCCAGTGCTTGCAGTGACAGTTCAGAGCTGAGCCCCACTGACCAGGACTGGGCTCTCCAGTGGCTCCCCGAAACCAGGGGTTCTGCTGCCTGATTAACACACCGTGGGCAAAGACAGCAAACATTGGCCCTTCCTGGTAACTGCAGCCTAAGCAGAGTTGTGCAGAATTGGATTTTGCTGATGGGAGCAGGAACAGCCTGACCCAAGTCCATCCTGAGACATGGAGCCCTCCCATCAGCAGAGCTCTGTGCATGTGTAAGGGCCTCTACAAACAGGACCAGCTGTGTTTGCCTGCATTAATTCAAACTGAAACTACATCATCTGTGCTCAAAGATCAATCGCAAGAACAGCGTGCAAGATGTGTGAATATGAGGGAAATGTAGGGAACATAAAAAAAGAATTAAATGCAGAGATCATGGGTGCAGATATTCACATTTGCATGGTGTGTAGCAGCTATGGTAAAGGGTCAGAATACACTGTGGTTAAAAACCTTGCCTGCTTTGACAAAACTATGAACTCTTATCAAGTCACATTTTACACAAGATGCATTAGAAGGATTCAGTACTTAAAATACCCCATTGCAAAGTCCAGTTCAGTCAAACATATTAGCACAAAAATGTCATGTTTTTCTCTCCAAGAAGTAGACATTATTTCTTTTTAAACTACTGCCTACTGCTTGTCAGCAACACGTAGATGGCAACAATTTAACAGTTAACAGAATTTCTGTCCAACTCTTGACTTTCACTGACCATCAGAGGGGTCTTAGAGTGTTCTGTTTTCCCTTTACTCTCCTCATCTTCTCCCTCCTTCGATGCTGCTGGGTTTTCCTCAGTGGTGTCAGGCACAGCACCCCGAGATGCTTCTGTTGCATTTCCTCTGACTGTAATGTGCTCCCACCCACCCTGTGAGAAAGGGATACAGAAACTCAAAAGGAGAAACATCACCCTGTCAGTGCTGGATGTGATGTGATGCTTTGTGTGCACTGCTAGTTTATTAATTTATTTCTTGTTCATGAGGAAAGTAATCCTGCTCTAGGATGAATCAGAAAAAAGTCTCCTTGTAAAGTGAAACACAACACAGCAGACCTCCCTGACAGGGAGTTATAGAGGCGGTAAACTTGAGGATTGTTCTTTATCACAGGGAAATGAGGTTAGTAGGGTCAGGCATTCATAACAGAGCCACTGCAGATGTTCCACCAACTTAAAAGGTGGCAAAACTTGAAATAGCCTTTCTCAAAAACGTTGAGAATATTACAGAGTACAACAATGAGGAATAATCATGTGCAGACCAGGAATGAATCTATTTTAAATGGCTCTTACTCCACTAGTTTTTCCACTGTAACTTTTAAATTACCTATTTAAAATGAATGCTAATCAAATGCAAATAACTTCCCACCTATGATTGCAGCCCATTGTAATAACCTTAAAAAGGCACCTAAACCTGAAGGAAAATGTCTCCTGTTTCCTGCAGGTATATCCAAGCTTTCCAATGCTGGCCAGCTGGGCAGGATGGCACTTCCCTTTCTGTGTGAGCCCATAGACACTGGGATGTACAACTTCAGGCACTTACCCCAATGCCATAATCCCAGGAGAGGCCTTTAGGTTCCAGGGGCTGGACACCAGTCCGGTGGCAGACGGTCCCACAGCTCAGGCTGTGGCTGCCCTGCACTTTGTCAGCTATCACCCACACCTCAAGGAAACAGAGAGAGGCAGTAAAATGTGCTGCTCTTCCCAGATGTGACATCTCTGTCTGACCCCTTTCAAAAATCAGTCTTGTTCTTCAATAGGCTGAAAATGCTTGAATTTAGGCAGAGAGACACCCAAACAAACTACAGAGCAGTGTTATAATTAAAACATTGCCAGATAAGACTTGGCAGGGATGAGATTAAATATATAAAAAGCCTTGTTAAAATATATAGCCTTGTTAAAAAAAAGGAAAATAAAATAATGAGGCTTTTTGCAGCAGAGGGCTTGGCTGTATCACTATTCCATTGGTATGATTTTTTCTTTTGCTATCAGATTCCAGCATTTAGACCAACATTTTGTGCAATAAAGTTAAACAAAACTAAGGCTGAAGAACATTTAATTACTAAAGTATGTTCTACATAATTTTTAATAAACTCATGAGATACAAGAAAGCTTAATACATACCTGGTCCAGGGGTCCTACAGACATTTTACGGATATTATTTGAAACATGATCCCAGGCAGATCCTTGAGGGTAGCTGGGTGTGATTCCCTGCCGGTACCAGAGATTGCCTGTGGAACAAAGAGTGGGGTTACAGCCCAGCATGGCTGTTTGTCTGAAGTGCTGTAAACAACATAAATCAGGAATTCGTTCTTTCTGTGTTCCAGGGAAATGCAGTTTTGGCTGATGTGTTACAGTGATGGACAAATTGAAGTTCACACTTTGGAATTTGTATTTCTGTAGTTATTGCTTATAAAAGATAGAAAATATTCTGTTTTGTAAAACTTCTTGGGGAAAAATGTTCATATAAGGAACTATGCACTAGAAAACAAAAGCAAATGAGATTAAGGTCTCTGAATCTGGTGTTAAAGGCTTGTTTCTTGAACAAAAGGTGCTTCATGATTTATCTGTTTTGGAGCAGGATTCCAGACAAAACCCAGCCATGCAATTCTCTGACATTCATCTGTGTCTTCCCCCCACAGAGCACAGATGCTGGATTGTTGTTACCCAGGGCACTATCAGATACAACAACCAAGCCTTCAGAAGCAGTACTTAAGTGCACTGCTACTCCAGATCCTTCAGAATAAAATACTACTCCCTTAGGAGAACCAGTATTCAATCTCCTTGTTAAATCAGTCTGGTATAGACCTCTGTACTTTTTGTAGCACTGACTAATAGTTTTTTAAATCCTTACCATTTTTATCCAAGACAAATACAGATGTTCGTCCTACTGAGACTTGCTTTAACTTCTGTTTTTGAGGTGAAGGGATATGGTACCAACAGTCACCTAAAGGTCACAAATCTTGAGTTAAGCATTGAAAAATAGAATTAGGCATGGAAATGTCTGCAGATTAAATACATTGCTGTGCAGGAAGGCTGTGAAGGCAGCCTTCATATATTTTTAAGAGATTGATTTTCACAAATGAACACTTTAAATTACACAAGTGAATAGCAAATGAACTGCTATAATTATTGTATTATTTGTGTGCACTGTTTTGCACAGCCATGGGAAAAGCTTTGAAAAACAGATTGCGCTTTTTCAGACATGGCAGTGGAGTAGAGCAAAGGATAAAGTACAAGTTCTTACCTGCAGGTTTGTTTGGAGACACTGAACCCCGGTAGAAGGCAGAACCATCTCTAGCAATAGCCCACACTTGGTAAAATGCTCCAATGGAGATGGAAATGAAGGGCTGATCTGTTCCCACATGCAGCCAGGATGTTCCCTAACAAATCATGGGAGATGAATTGTGAAGCAGTGCTTAAAACCTCCAGGACAAAATATTGTTGATTACTACCAAATGAGAAAAAAATAACATAGTGAAAAATATTCTGGAGAATAAATCTTACATAACTTTACAACTGAACAGAAACAAGGCTGCTGATCCTTAAAGATATTTGGATATACAACTCTTTGAAAATAATTAAGTTGGACAATGAAGGGCCCCTTTTAAGCATATACGTGTCTCTGAACAGCTGGACTAGAGCCTTCATTTTAATTCTTCACAAAAATCAACTGATATGGGAGTTCAGATTCTGGACACCGCATTCCAGTTCTCACTGCTGCACTGCTTTACAGATCAGGAAGGAAAAAAAGTTCTTAAATATTTTTCAATTTCTTGTAGTTTTTCTCCAAATTCTACTAAAGTATTTTCTTAGGTTTTTTTTTCCTGTTTTTTTATCCTACTGGTATCAAGGCACTAGATTGGGACCATGCTTCAGAGTCCATTCCTCAGCAATTCCTTTAAGTGGGATACACCTGTTGCCAACCATTTCAAAAAACAAACAATAAAAGAAGAACCATGCTGCCAGTGCAGAAAGTGGAAGTAAACGCTTCCTGAGAAGATGGCCAGGAGCTGGGAGAGGCTCCTGCAGGTGATGTTGCACAAGCTCAGGTAGATTATGCAAGAGAAGCACTATTACATGGAACGTGGGCAGCAAACTGTGCTACAGCTGATGGACAGAGACTTGCAAATCTGGGACACAAAGGGATGAAAAATAACAAGGTGCTTTGAGAGAGGGCCCTGTGTGATTGCATGTACTTGCATATTACATTAGATACATCAATAAGCAGTAAAAACAAACAGGGAGCCTTACAGCTGGATTTTGCTGTGTCACTCCAAGTCTGCAGAGCACGTCTCCTTTGTCACTGATTGCCCACAGTGCTACTGCTTCTTCATCATCTGCATCTGAACTGGGAATTATGGAGATGTCCCACAGGGTAACAGGAGGCACTTCCAGCCATGGCCCGTTGGTGACTATCTTACATTTTCTGAAGCAGAAAAGATCCAAACCTGTCAGAAGTATATACTCTGTATAACTGAATTGGTTTCCAAGTCTATTGCTGACTGCCAGTCCTAAAGTATTTTCATTAGGTAGTGTTTTTCATTAAGTATTAGTATTTTTAATTTGAAAGAGGTTTTTAACAATCAATCATGTTTGGCATCAGTTTTGAAATTTGAACTATTACTGATTTCTCAAAGCTTCTGTTGTTTGTTTGCTTTTTTTTTTAAGTTACTTTATAAAACCAAGACCACTAAGAAGACTGCAACTGGTGCTACACTGCTCCATTGCTCTCTCAGACTCACTGGGCAGCAGCAGGATAATAAACTGCAGAGAGAACTCCACACCCAGCACATTCCTTCCTCTGTCTTGGTTAAAGGAATAACTTTATTTCAGGTTTCTTTACTTTTTCTTTTGTTGATTGGGTTTTGTTGACAAGACTCTTTACCTCATAACTAAAGTAGACTTAGTGGGCAATTTGCATTCAAGTTCAAAATTTATTTATATTGAAGTTCCTCACCTTGCCCAGCGCCTCCGTCGGACAAAGTCTTTCATTGTCTTGTGGCCATGGTAGGACCTGCCAAAACAGATGTAAACAATGTTCATGAGGATGTCAGAGCATCTCCAGTGTCAGTGCCAGCCTGAGAGCACTGCCTCCATCTGCCCACCAGGCACAACTGCTGGTTTTAAAGTTCTTCAAGTGACAGTTTGCCAAGTTCACCTTGCTGCCCTCCCTCCCTGCAAACATCAGCATGCCCACAAAAAGGGGGAAAATGAGGCA